GTGACTTTGTATCCCGCGCCAACAAGCCGCGGTTATGTGGCAAGATCGATTCAATTATCGGGAAAGGAATAGTCTGGACTCTTCCAAACTGCCGCAACGCTCGGTCGGGCATGTACGGCTCCACTATACCCATGAACTGTATCGTGCCGTAATACATGCTCCGAGGATGTAAGTAATGTGCACCGGTACCATACGGGGTCCAACAAACCTAAGCATATTTTAAACTAATTAGAAAAATCCGTAACTCTACTATAAACATAATTAGAAAAATTATTACTCACATCTCTTTCGGTCATGGCGTCGAGTATTTTCCGGTATTCCTGCAGCGTGGTTTTATTGCCTCCACCATGGGCCCACCTTCTGCATCGAGGCTCAAACTCGGCATATGAACTGGAAAGAGGTGGTCGAAAGCAGGGGAAATGCTCAAAGATCCAGCACTGCAAACAAAAACCAATGAATAAATAAATAAAATAGAAGTTTAAATAAATAAATAATTACTAACAAAGGTACACGTACCAGAAGGAGAATAACACATCCACAGAGACTGTTCATCCCAGCGCGGGTGGCAATACCCAATTGGCGGTACATGTTTGCTAAGCATGCCGAAGCCCACGAATACTTGCCGACATTGTCGAGATCGTTGGTAAAATGGATCCACCACGGCTTCATGTTACACGCTGTTTTGTCTACAAACAAAACAGACCCAAGCAGAAACATCAAGTAGCCCTTCATCTTCTTCTCGTCTGTGGCGGAGGGAAGGGTCAACTGATCTCTCACCTTAGCCCAACCAACTCCCTTGTTTCGAAACATCTCATTGGTGTCCATCAGACCGACACCCAATACAGATGCAAGACTCTGTGAGCACTCTTCTACCGGGCGAATTTCAGACACTGCTGGTCCGTCCAGCCGCAACCCCAGGATGAAAGCGACATCGTGGAGCGTGATCGTCATCTCGCCCCATGGCATGTGGAAACTGTTCGTCTCCGGCTACCACCTCTCCACGAAAGCTAGCATGAGGTTCTTGTTCATCCTCTTCAGAAAACAGTCTCGTAAGTGGTAAAGACCTGTTGCCTCCAGCCTCGCAATCATCGTGTTATCCTGCGGGCCGCGGTAGTCCTCGAGTGCTTTGGTCCTCGACTCGCACCGTGTAGTTTCACGGCGCTCCTGAAAAATATTGCATGTATTGTTAGCTAAAAAAAATGAATAATATAAGAATTATGTAAAGCACGTGTTGACAGAAAAACTTACATATCCTTCCCAAATGTACATCGCTATATGCGACTTGAACCATCGCATAAACTCTAAATTTTGCGGCCCTCCCTCGCACGGACCCTCCAAGTACGCCGGACCAGGCAGTTGCGGAAAGGGTAAGGCACGACCACCTCTACGATCCTGATATACATCTGCTGGCTCATCATCTTCCTCCATCTCCTCGTCAGTATCCATATTATCGGGATTGTTGTTGTGGTCATCATCGTCGTCGGCATGTGGCAATGTACTACGAGCTAGCTAGAGATCGCGTGTAGGTCCACAGGGTCCGGCTCCAGCTGCAACAGCTTCTCGTCTCAGTCTCTCTTCTTCCCGCTGTAACGCTGCTTCTCGAGCTAACTGCTTTCTTCTACGGGCGGAAGCAAGGACATCTCGGTCTCCAATGCGATCCGGATCTTCCGGATTGTCACCCTTCCCGCTCAAGGCTTTCATTAAGCTCTTGCCTTTACCGGCAACTTGACTCATAAGACTTTTCCCCCGGCCTCCTGCCATCTACATTTTAAATAAGCACTTTATTAATATTTCATATAATAAAAAAAAGCATTTAAATAATGAAACGAAAAAAAAAAAAATTATTTGTTCTGCTCGCGCAAAAACACACGAGCATTTCAACAGTGCTCGTGTGAA